ATGGTATCCAGAATTTGATTAATGATGGTTGTTTGCAATTTGACAGAGTTGTTGGGGAGGATGTCGACGACAGGGTAAGTAATGATGGGAAAGAAATCGCCACGATTTTAATCCCTTACCGGACCATTAACATTTCAGCGTCTGCTAGGCCAGCACCTATGATCATTACCATTTCAGGACCCGTGTCGTACGAGAGCACTAAATCCATCCCATGGAACTATGGGGCAGAGGTGTTCTGTAATGGGCAGAAACAAGAGTTAACTAGTTCATCATATCGTGCTTCTACTGTTGAAAACATAGTGGGTGCAGGTGGTATCACTAGAAGCGGAAGAGTCTTTTCCCCACCAGAGGCTAATACTGACATGACTGATAAGGGAAAAGGGAAAGTAGTGGTTGATGAGAGTACGCAGCAGTAGACTGGTAGTGACAATTCATTCTCTAAAGACGCCAAATAGTTTATGAGGCTCATTCGCAAAAGTGATTACAAGATTGTGGATCACTTAAGTCAAAATCCATCGAAGATTTCTATTCTGTCATTGTTGTTGTGTTTTGTGGCACACCGAAATGCATTGTTGGAGATACTGAATTCCGCATATGTACCGCAGGAAATTTCAGTTAACCAATTGGAAAAAGTAGTGGCGCATGTCAATGCTGGCAATGGTTTAGGTTTTACAGGCCTAGATTTAACTCCTTCTAGGAGAAATCATAACCATGCGTTACATATATCCATGGAGTGCAGAGGATCCTTACTGTCACACGTCTTAGTTGACACAGGATCGTCACTCAATGTGCTACCTGTCATACCTCAAATTTTACCCTTAGATTCCTTGATCTTTTACATATAATCGTAGGACAATTATCCATGCATGAGCTAACTGTTTTATAAGTTTTTGTCTGTTTTGCGAAGTTGAGTTTGCTCCAGAAAGTTTCAAAGATCATGAAGGCTTTGTGCGTGCTCATAGTCCTCAGCAAGCCGTGTTTGAATTCCTGTGGATATAAAAGAAGGATATGCCCTTATTCTTGTAGCCTTTTGATCAATGCAAAGTCATTCTCTTCAAGATTTCTTAGAAGCTTCTCGCAAGGAGGATTAAGTCTTCCTGTCCATTGATATAAAATATGGTTTGAAGTATGGCGTGGTGTTGACAATATTGTGTGTATTGTTTTCAAGAAGAGATGTAAAAGAATGTGTCTTCATTGTATAGATCAAAACTTCATCAGATTAGAATGTGTGGTTTATTGGAGTTGCAACTAATTTAAAGATCATGTTTAATCATGTTCCTATTGATGAGTTTGAATTATTACAATCTTTTGATTTTAAAAGAAGGAATTAGAAATTTCTTGTTGACATCGTGAGGTTACAAGTTTGAATAAGAATTTTGATTCAAGTTTTTTCTATAAGATCTCAAAGTGACGGTCAAGATTTGTAGATTCATTGTTGATATCATCTTGAGTTTCAATAGGAAGTTCATGCCTTAAATGCTAAAATTCGAAGTTTAGTTCCAAATTCAAGTCATATGATCAAGATTCAAACTTTATCAATTCAAGACATGTACAAGATTAGTTCAAAGAATTTCCTTGATTAGTGTCAAGGTTGTGTATTCATGTGATTAAGGTCCAAGACAAGATTCATAACCACTTTTCTCTTACAATTCAAGTTTTGTTCTAAGGCCAGGATATTCAAGTGAATTCAAGTTACCATTTTCAACCTCCAAGACACAAAGTCAAAGTTATTCATATAAAATCCAAATCCAAGTTCAAAATTCCATGTTTACTTTAAGGCCATGTCAAAGTTACGAATTCCAATACCAAATTCCAAGTTCTTACGCCAAATTTTGTTCAGATTCAAGTCATTATTATCAGGTTTATCAAAGTCAAGACATTATAAAGTACAAGGCCAATATGGGGAGTTTATCATGGAATTCAAAAGGTTACAAGATTCTATTTTACAAAGATCATGTTATTTCTAGAAATGCAAAATTTACCCAAATATAAGAGCAATCACAAGTTTATGGTATAGTCAAATTACAAAAAGAAAATAATTCTACAATGAAGAAAACAATGTCGGGGATATTTGGTAGGTATTATAACCAAGTACCGCTATCCTAATTCAACTTGACAAGGCGTTCTTCTCATAAGCCAATTACATGACTTCATGGGACACCTTTTTCGCCGACTTTCTCATATTGGCACGGCTGGAGTCATATTTTAATTTTGGTATTCAGATGGTGGTGAAGGCTGCAATGCAAAGATTGATAGACTACAGTTGACTGAAAAAGAAAAAAAAAAACCAAATACTTATGTGCTACTCAAGAGGATATGAAGGCAACTATAACAAATGTTCAAAAAAGGACATAATTTGTGCAAGACATACACCTCTTTGTAGCTGATGGTGACGATGAAGATGAGCTCACCTTCAAGCAAATGTGGTGTTGCATCATCTAGAGGCATTTCTTGTAATGAATATTTGAATCATCTAAAAGCTGCAAGAAAGTATTCACAGCACCAAAATCCCAAATCATTAACCATGAACTGAATTGCAAAATGAAGCGAGAATCAATATTAGTCCTCAAATACAAAACATGTTTAAACAGGATAGCTTGAAATAAAAGAAAGTTACATTACGATGTCGATAATGGTTTTGGCAAGAATTAAAGGCATATGTCGAATTTCCAAATTAACTCTCCAACATACGATCATGAGAAATTAGGCGTACAGGGGGCAAAAATCAGCAATCATCATTTTGTTTCCAAAACAATGTTTCAACATATTCAGAACCGTAATAATTTCTTTCCAAAAACAATATTTTACACACAATTAATATCATTTAGTATGAAGGATCAAGATGGTTATAAAAGCGAGAGAATCTAACAACAAAGGGGAGGCAGAACATGATATCAGTAAAGGAAAACATCACCATAAAAATACACACAAAATGTTATGAGCATCATCAGCATAACATGGGTATGAAAACATCACACGAACTCGCAAGATTTGATAAAAATTTCACACTGAAGAACACACACATTCACACTTAAAAAAATTCACACACATACCATACGAACATACACGCACAATCATACACTGGTTCGAAACAACATCAACAACGACAAAACGACGATATACAGAAGAGAGGAAGGAGATTGTAGCAGCGAAGAACCGCACCTGAGTAAGTAAATACTTTAACCCTCTTCTATTTTGTTTTGTGACAATATCGAATTTTATCGCGGCGCCAAATCAACGTCGATGTGAATATGCGAATTGACGAAAGAGATGAGAAATCTCCGCCGCCGACTAACAAACAGGGCGCGACGGATGCCGTCTTTCCGGCTAACCGCGTCCTAGAGAGAATTGGTGAGTTAGAGGACGGACCGCGTATGGGAGAGAGAAGGAGGTTTGAGTTGAACGGTCCGCAAAGAAGAAGAACATGGGACGGCGGTGGTTTGAATGAAAGAGAATAGCCGCTATTTGAAGGAATGGCCGGTTTCTTTGATGCTCGCCGTGAGAGCATAGTGACGTCGTGAGATTGGCGAGACAGAAGATGGAGGAAAACGAAAAAGGAATTGTGGTTTGAGAAGGGAAAGTTTCTTTTCTTTTTTCTCTTTAATTTTTTGGCTTAATTGCAACTATGATCCCCTATTTTGTATTTTTTTGGATTTTGGTCTCTTTATTTTAAAAATCACGATTTTAATTTTTTTTTTAAGTTTTAAGTTTGATTTTAGTCCCCTCTTTAATTTTAAAATTTTTTTTTGATGATGTGGCACCATCTAAGATGACATGTCAATGCCATGTCATTTTAAAAAAAATAATTTAAGAGTTTTTTTATTGACTAGAATAATTAACTTATGAATATTATTTTAATTAATTAATTAATGGTTAACATTTTATTATTAATTAATTAAAATTTTAAATGAAACTCTTTCGTCAATTCGCATCTTGTTTGTTAGTCGGCGGCGGAGATTTCTCAGCAACTTCTCCTTCTTCTCCTTCATTTCAGCAACTTCTCCTTCTTCTCAAACTTGTTCTCTTGTATACGAAGAGCTAATTCATAACCATCTTTGGTCCATTTTTCTAACCCACAATTGAATTGTTGTATTTGTTTCAACTTTATAAACACTTTTATGTCTCATACAAAAATCAATGTGGGACTTGTAAAAGACATTTTATACTACAACATTACCTCCTTTTTCATTTCAGCAACTTCTCCTTCTTCTCAAACTTGTGTCCATTGCAGACTGATATACTTAGGCACAACATTATGAGAACAATGGATTGAACAATCATAGGTTGGAATTATTGCTCAAGAAGCACGCAACTGATATAGCTACTGATATAGCTACTGCTAACAGGAATTTAGATACAAGCATCCACGTGGCAGCAAGAAATCCATTGCTACCAAAACTTTATCTTAAGCCTAGTAGTGATGTGAATTATTCTAGTGCAGCTTCAGACATTGTTTACAGAAAAGCAAATAGATTTCTTATTCCAAATAGGAACTCTGAATATAGAGGCAGCAATACAAACAATTTGCTCAACAATGACATTCAATGCTCCGTCTCAAACCAAATGAAGGACATCTTCTCTGATGTATCCTATGGTAACTTATTCTCTTCTATAATATAAATTCAGAGATAAATTAGAGTGGTTACAATGTATTTTCTAATGTTATTTTAATTGAAATTTGGACAGCTAAGTCAGAAATATGTTAAACTGTTCAATTGATGTAGTATCTAGCCACACAAACTTGCAGGTAATATCATCATTATTAGTACAAAAATTGAAAATTAACTAAATCTCTAATAATTTTCTTGTTGTAGGTAATTTTCTTATTGCAGACAAAATTTTTATCATTAGTTCTACTTGCAATCTATAGAACTCAGAAATCAAAAGAATTGTTTAGTGGCTGATATATTTGCTGTGTTTACTCTTTTGCTTGCTTGTCTTATAACCCACGGTGAAACTTGTAATGCAGGGTGAGCAGGTCAGCCACAAAGGGGCTTCTTATGCATTTAGGATGCGACGTCACTACTCTAGACTCGAGTGAAGAATGTATGCGTGTTGTTTCGCAGGAACACAAAGTCGTCTTCATGGATGTTTGTACAGGGTTAGATAGTTATGAATTAGCGGTTCGTATACAAGAGAAGTTCGTGAATTGTCAAGATAGGCCACTTATAGTCGCTCTCACTAGAAACACCAACAAGTGGAGTAGAGAAAACTGTACGAGAGCTGGTGTGAATGACCTTGTTTTGAAACTTGTTTCTGTTGAGAAGATGAAGGGTGTTTTAACAGAACTCTTGGAGCAACGATTTGTGTTTGAAACGGTTTAAACTACCATAATGTCTTACTATTATGAAAAACTTTTATTGTACATACCAAAACCAAATTAGCAGAGCTGAGCTTCAACATTCACAACATTTGTACAATCTAAGCAACAAGAATGTGAATAAATCTACAAAATTTACAGGCCAAGAAGTTGAAACTCATGTGGTTGGATTACCAATAATCATCGCAAAAGCATTTGCCATCCTTGATGTGATGAAACCGGTTTGAATCTCTCTGAACAATCTCTCTTCCAGTGACAGTTGATATATACTTTATCGCCGAATGGCAGTCACCACAAAAACACGAAGGTTCTTAAATACCCTTATAGGTTTTGAATTTGGTGTACTAATAAGTGCAAACGCAACTGCAAGTTTTTCACTGTGTTGAAATAGATATTGTTCCTTTTTTTCATCCTCCACATCATGAAGAACAAAATCTGTGTTTGGAACATAGCCTACATTCTTTATTTTTAAAGCCAATTCATCAAGTTTTCCATATATTTTTTGAGCTTTAGGGTGTAAAGTATCTCCTACACTTTACTGCCACAACACTAACACATATTTCAGGAGGTAACTGCGGCACAGTACTTGATTTGGGATTAAACTTTTTGGGCAACGTGCAACCTATGCTACACTTTATCATATTTCACATTGTAGCAGCTCAAATCACACTTGGTGTGTGTAGTTGAATATGCAACTTTGGAACCTTCATGAAAACTGAGATACACAAGCCAAAACTGTGTGCTAGTGATTGCAGCACAACATTAGTAACATGGCTTCTATGACGGAGCGAAAATGGTAGATGTGACAGTTGAAACACCATTAACCTTGAGACTCGACAAATAATGATAACAAAATTTGGGTCTCTATCAATCTGTTAAGTTGTATTTGTTTAGCCTTGCTATGTTATAAATGTTATATACACTTTAGAGTTTTGATGGATCATCCTCCTGTCAAACTGCTTCTCCATGTAACTGTTTTTTACTTTTTGTCTCATAGTAAATCATGAATCTGGTATATCATGAGATAGATATGTGATGTGAGAATCTAGACTTTTAGGGAAAGCTAATTTGACTTGTATGATGTTCCAACCATTTGCTCTAAAGTATACGTATCTACAAGTGCTTGACTTCATCACTGTTTGAGAACAAGAAAACAAAAGAGCAAGTTCTGCAGATCAAAATTGATGCGAAGAGAAGAATAAACATACGAGAATGTTTTCCAGGCCACAACTGTTTGGAGTGATAGGAAGATATAGAAGGAATTTATGGTCACAAGAAAACAAGTTTAAGGGCAATGCCTGAGCAAGGCTAGTGGAGATAAATCTCTACTGTCTCTTCTTATTTTTGGACCAGCAAGTATAGAAGGAAGGTGTTGCACCCCAAAATTTGACCAACATTTTTCTACCTAGCTTGTGTTCACTAGCATTATCATCTGCATTTCATTGATATGTGTGCAGTAGATCAAGAGGTATGATTACCAATCAAGAGCACCACAAGACTTTTAAGGTAGCCAAGAAGGTTATTCAGGTGTTCAAGGGTTGATATCTTTGTCAGAAAATTTAAGAGATCCTCAGAGAGATTGGTTGAAACCAAGGTTGTGTGCCTCCTAACTTGAGAGTTGTGGGAGCTCCTCAGATGATTCTGAAGCTATGAGGATGGACTTGAAGCTTTGAGAGATCTTATGAGATGTCTTGAAAGCCATCATGAGGACTAGAGAGGTCATTGTACAAGAATAAGAAGACTCAGCCATGAGTGGTGCAATTAGGGTTTGACTAGGTCAACCCTAGGTCAACTGATGATTTGGAGAGGGTTGAGACCTAATCCAAGAGCCATGTGATCATGGATTCATGCATTGAGATGCTATAAGGATGATTCCTAGATCAACTCATCATGATTGAGGAGTTTGAGAAGTTTCAAGCTAGGGTTTCTAAGGCTTGACAGTGTAAAATCCCCTAGTTTGATCCCTATCTTCAAGGCAGTTTAGCTCAAGATGTGATTGTCATATCATCTTTCCTACAACATGAATGTTGTAGAGCTTGTTCTTAGCTTTAATTTGAGTACTAGAAGTCCTTGATAGGATTTGTAGAGCTCAAGTTATGACTTTGACAAATTACAGGTCATCTGAGGTATGTGAATCTGGGGCCTTGAAAGTCACCCAACTTGCATCCAACTTTTGCCCAAGAAGGATTATTCCTATGAACTTTTGGTCAACATGAATGTTGTTCCTCATCTTCTTAGATTTCTAGAGAGTACTAGAAGTCCTTGATAGGACTTGTAGAACTCAAGTTATGGCTTTGACAAGTCAAGGGCATTTTGGTCATTTGGAGATTATAGGTCATTTCCAGCATAAGGCCATAACTCCTATTTCCAAGCTTCAAATGGAAAAATCTTCAACATCAAACTTGCTTAAAATGATGTTTTAAGGCTAGTAGGGAGGTCATGAGATGTTGAAAAGGCTTGTAGCAAAAAATGGTAAAAATGACCTAAAATGGAGGCATGAGTTAAATAAGTTCAAGTTGGAAATTGAAATTTCCAAGTTACACATCTAAACCATGGCATATAATAGGTCATTTTGACTCCAAAGAACATTTTAGAAACAATGGTTCAACCACTTTTTTGAATTGAGGCCTAGATCATGGGGTTTCTTTGGAAAATGGTTGCTTGCATAATAAGATACAAATGCAAAACTCAAGGAAAGGCAATGTACAAGCTAGCTAAGTGTCTTAACATGTCATATATCTCATCTAAGGAGATTTTCAAGTCAAGGCAAGTGCTGCAAGGGGCTATGGCATGAGATGATACATGAGATGGATGAATTCAAAAACTCATGACATGAGAATCCCAAATTCTCATTGGATGATTCCAGATGGTTCTAGAGAGGTCCAATGCATTCTATATATGGTTTAGAACTTGCTCAGATGCAAGGTTGGTGAGAGATTAGAGAGAAGAGGGAGATAGCCATTTCAATTGCTTCCATTGCAAGTTGAAATCAAATTCTACATTCTGATTCATTTCCATTTCTTCTTTCAATCCAAACACATTCCATTGATCACACTGAAGCTGTGCATACCAAATTGAAGGCAAAACCATGGAGAATTGAAGAGATATCACTTGGATTTTGAAGGTTGCAAGTCACAATCGGATTTGGAGATTCAAGCTTTCTTGGTCCAATCTTTTGCAAACAGAAGCTTTATCATCATTCAAGGATTGATTCTGAAGAGTTTGAGAGCTTGAAGTGGAGGATTACCCTATCTGGTGTTCAAGATTTGACAGGTTAGTAAACTTCCTTCTACACCATGATTTAAGCATAATTAGGGAGAATTGTTAGGTTAGAACGGTTAAAGACAATTAGGTGTTGGATTCTGGGAAGTTTGAGATCAATTGGTGAGGTTTCAGTTGGTGACACCATTTTTGTTTTGACCAAGAACATGAGATATAGTGAGCTATAGCATGAGTTTGATATCAAGAATTAACCAGGGTGAGTTGGTGATCATTCTGAGGTAATTAATTGCAAGAATTGTTGAAGTTGATGTCTGAGCTTATTTTTGATCTTGGATCGGGTTTGGAGATTTAGGGCATTTCAATTGATTTTGAGGCCATGGTTGTGATCAGCATGGAATGTAGAATGGATTAGGGTTTTGAATCTCAATTTTTCATGGAGAATTGAGGTGATACGAGTTGGGTGAAGATTCACTATGGAGCTCTGTTTCCATGGCTTCCTCCTTTTGAACCCTAGCTGGAGGAAGAAGATGATGAGATGGCCGTTGGATGAGGCGAAGATCCATTAACTGAGGGGAGATCCCATGACTGAGATTCAATTTTGTTTGAAGAGGGAAATTCTGAACAATGAAACGAAGCGTTTCATTAAACCCGTGGTATTGGGCTTAAGTGTTGAGTTTGATAACCACACCCCCTTTCATGGCCCATGATGATTTTGAACTGTATTTTGTTACTAACTGCACCGTTCATTTTTCTTTTTCTTTGTGATTTTTAATTGATTTTCTGATGAAAACTGGGCCTGGCGCGCATTGATATCCCCACCCCCATTTTGAGCCCATCTGGAATTTGTACTGAATATAGTTGCTATTCACACCAATGTCTTCATATTTTAATTTCTTTTTCTCCATTTTTCATTAATCTTTGAAAAATCATAATAAATAGAAAATTAATGATTTTTGCATGGGGATTTTTTCTCCCATTTCATGTTCATGTCTATAAAATTATAAAATCAAAATATTTGCATTTCATGCATTTTTAATATTTTTGTGTATTTTTTCTTTTAATAGCATTTTAATTCTTTCATGTTGATGCATAGATTTGTAGAATTTTGTTAAGCTAGTTCCCTTTGAATTTTTAGGCCATTCTTTTTAAGATAGTTAGATTAGAACTTTAGCTCCCCCCTGGATTTATTCCATAATTTTGTGATTAATTTTAGGTTAGTTTTGATTAGATGACTTTAGGTTGTGTAGATTTAGGTCAATCCTTAACATAGGTCCACAATAACACTAGAATTTTGGGTTTCTAGGCCAAGATAGACATTGGGACATATAGGGTATTAAGGGTAGGTATATAGGATCCCCTAGAAATTATATTAGATTTTAATATAATAGTATACTATTTTTAGATGATTTTTGTAGTTGATGATTGTTTGTGTTGCCCTTGTGGGCTTGTATTTTGGTTGCTTTGCTTTGTGGGCTTGGTGAGCTTGGTTTTGCTTTGAGAAGCATGGAGGAGCATAGTAGAAGACTTGAGAGTTGAAGAAGGAGCTTGAGAGCTTGGAGGCTTGTTTGTTTTGTTGATTGTTTTAGGGTTAGGATTTAAGTAGAGCTTAGACCTAGCTAGTTTCTTTCTTAAACATGGGTGGTATCTTTCACCTCCATTCTTCCCCATGATTCAAGGTCCTTCCATGGTATTCACCTCCCTCCTTAAGAGGGATAAGTGATGGTACCTAGGGAGTAGAACCTTTGAGGGAACCATTCTTTTGATGTTAAACCCTTATAGGTC